CAGAGCAGAGCAGAGCAGCGCAGCGCGCACCTGTGACGCCCGTGAGTGCATGAGTTTCTCGACGGCTGCTGGCTCTGCCTTGAACGCCAGCCAGTCCTTGAAATCCTCCATTATGGGCGATGTGCGCGCCGCTACCACCTGATGTGTGCATGCATGCACACATGCACACGTGCACACGTGCACACATGGGACACATGGCACACGTGGCACACATGCCAACATGCACACATGCACATATGAACATATGCACACATGCACACATGCACTTGCACACACACGCGCACACACGTGCACGCGCACAGAAACATGCACACACACACACACACACACAAACACACACACAACGCACGCACACACACACACAAACATGCACACACACACACACACACACACACACACACACACACACACAAGCATGCACACACAGACACACACACACACACACAAGCATGCACACACACACACACACACACACACACACACAAACATACACACACGCACACACACACACACACACACACACACACACACACACACACACACACACGTACACACAAACATGCACAGACACACACAAAAGGACAGTCAGAAGAGAGTGATGGGCGTACGACAAATGACAGCCGGAATTGTGACCACACGTGCCATCAAAGTCCCACCGCATGTGTACAAGCGCAAACGTGCACGCACGAATGCAAGCAAACACATACAAGCCTCCCTTCAACTCTCGTCGGATCACAGATACATTAAGTCATCATGTACTGGATTGACTTTTGAAATTTATCAAAGGTCAGAACAGCTACTACCATGGGCCATCATGGAAACATGCAACTTCCAAGGAAAGCAGAAGACTGCCCTCATTGAGCCCGCACCAACAAGCCTAATAGAGAATGGTACAGATGCGTTGACTGGAAAAGAAAGGAGAACAGAAGGACAGGGAAACCCAGGCTTGCCCTTACATGGAAAATAGCCGAGGCTTCCGAGGTGGTAATTGCCTTAAGCGCTCGCTTCTTTCCCATGAGCCACGCACACGCCCTGTCCAGCACCGCACTGCTGGCACTGCCGCCACAGCGCCGCAGCGCAGCAAACAGCACGCCGTACTGCCCCACCTTCACCGCCTCGCTCAGTGCCCTGTTCGCCTCTTCCTCTGATACCTCCTCCACCTCCTCCACCCGCGCCGCCACCCGCTCCTCCTCCCCACCCGTACCACTGCCCACGTCGAACCGCCTGTCACTCTCTCCCCTGCTGCTGTTGCCTGACGTCTCCCTGGCACCAGCTGGTGTGTGATTGTGCTGCTGCTGCTGCGGGTGATGGTGGTGGTGATGGTGGTGGTGGTGGTGGTGGTGGTGACACCCACAGTGAGCTAACTTGCATATTCCACCACCACCTCCTATTCCTCCTCCTCCTCCTCCTCCTCCTCCTCCTCCTCCTCCTCCTCCTCCTCCTCCTCCTCCTCCTCCTCCTCCTCCTCCTCCTCCTCCTCCTCCCCCTCCCCCTGCTGCCCCTCCGCCCTTCCCTGCGCCCCCCCTGCCCCCCACTCCTGCCAGCGCATCGCTACCGCCCTCCTTTTCCCCCGGTCCCGCTCTTGCACTTCCCCCCCAAGACCCCTGCGCAGTGCGCCTCACGCCTGCGCCACTTGCGCCTGCCGCCGCTGCTGCTGCTGCTGCTGCTGCTGCGGCTGCTGTCGGGGCTGCTGCAACCGTAGAAGGGGCACTGGCGGAGGAACCGGCATCAGCAGCAGCAGCAGGAGCAGCGGCAGCGGCGGCGGCGGCGGCGGCGGCAGAAGCAGCAGGCGTTGTGAGAACAGGCGCAAAGGGAAGGGACAGCTGGATACCAGCAGCTCCTGACGCACTGTCCGCGGCACTGCCAACAGCACTGCCTCCGCTGCCGCCAACGCCTGCTCCGCCGCCGCCACTTCCCACTCCGCCGCTGCCCACAGCACCTGCGCCTGCGCCAGTACCAGCAGCCGCACGGGTGACAAAGCGCGTCCCCTTGCGGGGTCTAGCAGCCCGGATAATAGGTGGGTGCTGCTGCTGCTGCTGCTGCTGCTGCTGCTGTGGCTGTTGTTGTTGCTGTGGCTGTTGCTGCTGCTGTTGCTGCTGCTGCTGGGGGTGGGTGTGCGGGAGCAAGGGGAACGCCGAGGACGCGGAAGCGGCAGAAGAGAGCGCAGGCGGAAGGGCGGAACCGGCCGCAGGCGAGCTGGCATCGGGCCAGATGGGGGCATCCACGCCGAGTGCACCCGCGCCTGCGCCTGCGCCTGCTGCGCACGAGCCTGCATGAGCACCGCCAAATCCAAAAGCCCCGAGTGGGAGAGAGGGAGAGGGGGATGGGAGAGGGAAGAGGCTGGCCGGGGCGAGTGGGCATGGGTACGCACAGTTGCCTGCTGACAGGGGCAGCGACGACGACACGGACGGAAAGCACGGAGCATGCGCAGGCAGAGACGTAGCATGGATAGACGCAGCAGCGGTAGCGGCAGCGGCAGCGGCAGCGGCAGCAGCAGCAGCAGAAGCAGCAGCAGCGGTGACATTGGAAGAAGCTGCTGCTGCTGTCGCTGCAGCTGCAGGTGTTGCGGCGTGTGAAGAGTTACGTGCTGTTGCTCCCGCCTTGGCTTCTGCCGCTGCGTGTGGGGCGAAGAGCGGAGCAACAAGGGGAAAGAGCGCCCCTGCTGCCACTGCGCTTGGTGCCCGCCAGTTCCCCGCATCCCCCCCTTCCGCAACTCGTGCGCCGAGCGCTTCTCCAGAGAGTGCGCTGGCGCTACCTGCTGGCGGCGCGGAGGTGCCGGTGGCGGAAGCACTATCGGCGGAAAGAACCATCTCTTGAGTCGCAGATGCGGACGCTCCTTCCAGGAACTCCCCGCCATCCGCGTCCCCCTCGAGCGCAATCGCCGCTCGCTTGTTCGACTGCCCTCGCTGCGCCGTTACCGCTTTGCCGGCCGCACCCCCCGCCACGCCGTTGTGATGAGGGGTCTCGGCGGTTCTGACGTCACTCGCTGCCGCGGATGCAGCAGCAGCAGCAGTGGCGGGATCGAAGGGCGGGGAAAGAGGCAGCGGATGGTGCGCGGAAGTACCTTGCGCGGGGACAAAGACCCCGTTTCCAATACCGGCCGTAAACGCCATTCCCTGAGGCTGCGCCGGCTGTTGCGCGGCGCACGCGTGCTGGTGCGACTGGTTGCGCATGTCCCCCTCAGGCAACGGGTGCGGAAGGTGCTTCCGCTGCTCCGCCGGTGCGGGATCGGCGGAGGAGAGATGAGAGATGGTTTCGGTTATCGGAGAGGAGTGAGCGTGGGACGTGGAAGAGGAAGGGTGATGCGTTTGGTGGCCTCGGCCCATGGGATTGAATCGCAGATACGTGGAAGCGGGGAAATCGTGTAAGTGAGGAATCGTGGAGCCGTGGAGAGCCGCGGGGAGAAGCTGAAGCTGAAGGTGAATCTGAGACGCACAGAGCGACCAGGACAAGGAAGGAAGGCACGGAAGGCAGGTATGCGTTGCAGGCACGGAAGGCAGGTTCGGAGGGAAGGTACGGAAAGCAGATACGGAAGGCAGGTACGGAAGGAAGGTACGGAAGGCAGATACCGACGGATGGAGGACGGAACTCAGACAGATAATGAAGGCGATGACGTGTAATCCGGTGAAAGAAGTAGAGCAATCGGTATGCACAGGGATGGATAGAAGCCAGCCTACGAAAACGGCGTGGTATGTTTCTCCCAGGCACCGCGTCACTGGTTTCGTTCAGCCGCGCAGCTGTGCAACTGCGTCCAAAAAAACTCTCAACAACAAAAAGTCGGATCTCGGAAGCCAAACGGCCAGCGTGCGTGGACCGACACCGAATTCCTGTTGCTCAAATCGACGGGCTAAATTTCTCGCGGATGAGATTCGGCAATAGCCAGACTCGCAGATTCAGTGAGTAGGAGGAAGGGATGATTGACCGATTAACGTCAGGCCCTGGTTGCAGCCTTACCTGGATGTCTTGATGGAAATGGCTCCTCAGCGCCGACAAGATTTACTTCTCACGTGCTGGTAATCAGCAGCCGTTGTGAATCATAGACTGATACTTGACTGAGTAGATTAGAACGGTAGCTAAGCGGACAGTGGTTAGTGGTTGGATGGATGGGATGGTGGTTCTGGCATGGGCCACAACACCTGACAAGGAGAGCCGCGATTGGTCGGTTGGGGACAGGGTGGAGGTCAGATGCACTTTCCTGGGGTTGTGTGCTGTGGGCATGGCATGGGCCATGGCTGTGTGGATGCCATGCCATGCCATAGAGGTTGTTTGCTCAACCTCGGTACAGTCAAGTTGTGAACGTAAATGATCAGAATGATAACTGTAGCCCGGTGCTGCATATTAATTCCCTATCTTTAGAAGAAACTGAGACAAAGATGATAGTCTATATCCAGATATGCAAGATCGTGAAATTTCGAATTTTATTGTATAATAGTAAAATAATGTTATTATTTCTACAAAAAATGACATATACAGGATCACAGCTTACTTCAAAACAAAGAAAAGGAACAACACAGCTTAAAGGGATGAGAAATGGAGCTGTACACAATCATATATATCAGCATCAATCGGTCTTATCTCCATATTGACCAGCAAAGTTTCGGCATCCAGCACGTTTTGGCAACAGCAAAATCGGGTTTTACTAGGTTGGGGGAAAATGCTTCTTGATTTTGGGAATGCCCGAAGCCCTGACCGAACACAGCCCAGATATGCCCTGGACCACGTCATGCTGATGCTGGAAGGCCTAGTGTCCCATTCATATGACAACAGCTCAGCAATTCCAACGTTGCATTTCCACACTGTTTAGCTGACTCTCCTCCAGCTAATGCAGATTTCCTGGCATTGCTGCTAAAATAACTCCTTCCCTTCATTGGCTTGCACGTATGCTTCGCTTTGCCGCCATTTGCGCTGCCCGCCATTCCCTTTTCCACCTTGCTTCTTGGCTGTGCTTGCTGTAACTTCCCGAGTTCGTGCTTATTAGTTCCCCTAATTACACATTTGGTCAACAGCATATTGTCAACAGAAAGTAAACGCCAATCTCCCGCAAGCCAATTTCGTTTCGTTTTCCCAGTAATTTAGGACTAGTTTAGTGGTATGCGATAGGTAGGGTATCACGGGTGCGCGTTGTCTAGACAAAGAACATATCCCTGTGCCTCCGTTGCTGCAAAGTTATCTCAGAGACAGCGTGGAGTGAGAGAGCTCCTTTCTCGCACCAGCACACGCATTCTCTCCCTCCATCCACCTTCTCACACTCGCCCTTCCCCAATTCGTAACACGACGCAAAGTCGCGTAAACGCGCGCCGCCGTTAAGGACGTTGTTAGGCACGCCCGCCGGCCGAAGCATGGCGGAGCTGCTGGCGTCGCCTGGTCGGCAGCGCGACGGGCATTTCAGCCTGCGCAGCCGGATACAGGAGCTGTGGCAGCAGCGGGAGGACGAGGAGGAGAAGAAGCGCCGCGAGAATGCGGGCGGCGGAGCTAAGGATGCGGAAGGGAAAGCGGTGGCGGGAGAGAGCGGCGACACGGAGCAGGCGGCGCTGAACTGGGCGTTTGAGAAGCTGCCCGTGTCGCTCTTCCCTCCCGTGGCTTCCGGCCAAGGTGAGATGTGGCTGGAATGGTTTTTGTTTTTCGTTGTTAATTAGTGCGAGCTGGTGGCTTGTCTTTTTGCTCTTCAAACTTTCTCCGTCTCACTTTCCTCCCTCCTGCTTGCTCCCCCACTTTTCTCCCTTCCCGTCTTCCATCCCTTCCCCTCCCCACTTCCCCCTCTTCCCTCCCTTCCCCCCTTTCCCCACTTCCCCCCGTTGCCCCCACCCCGCTCCTTTTCTCCCACCCGCCTCCCTTCTCCGCTTTCCTTTCCCGCTCGGCTGCCACGTGGCGGCGCGCAGTGATCGAGGTGGCGTCGGACGCGAGCGTGGCGGACGCGATTCACCTGCTGTCGCGGCACGGCATTCTCTCCGCGCCCGTGCGCAACGTGGACGCGCCCGCCGACAGCAGCTGGATCGACCGCTACTTGGGCCTGCTCGACTTCGCCGGCATCGTGCTCTGGGTGCTCGGCCGGGTGAGTGCTGGGCGAAACGGACGGGTGGGGTGTTGGGGGAGGACGATGGGAAGTGTTCGGGCGGGTGATTTTTGAAGCGACTTAAAAACCTCGCCGGCATCGTGCTCTGGGTGCTCGGCCGGGTGAGTGCTGGGAGGAACGGACGGGTTCGGGCGGCGGGTGGGGGGAGGAGGAGGGGAGGGGTCGGGCGGGTGGGTGTTGTGGTGGGTAGGTGCTGGCTCGGGTGGGTTCTGGGGTGGGTGTGCTTGAACGTGCAAGAGAAGTGGTGAGTAAAGAGAGAGAAAAAAAAGTGAAATTGTTTTCATTTGTTGATAACTCGGTTGTGAGGGTCGCTTGGGTACGTGCGAGATCAACTCGGTAGTGAATTGTGAGTGTTGAACACACAGACACACGCAGACACACGCAGACACACGCAGACACACGCAGACACGCGCAGACACACGCAGACACGCGCAGACACACGCAGACACGCGCAGACACACGCAGACACACGCAGACACAGACGCAGACACACGCAGACACAGAGACAACAAAGAAACAGACTAGCCATTGTGGAAACGACGGAAACAAGCAGCAGCGAAGGTCTTGGGAGAAAGATACCGACGCAGCGCGCCTAGATGATGTTGTTCCACGTGCTGTTGCTTTGCTTCCCTTTCGTTGCTTCCTCCATATGCTCTTATCGGCCATCAACCTCCCTCGCCTTTTCCCTGTCCTCCATCCGTTTTCCTTGCCCTCGCATCCCCCCTCCTTTTTTTTCCCCTCCCCATTCCGGATTTCCATTCCTGCCTTCCATTTCCTCCTCTCGTTTCTCCTTTCCTCTTCTCCTCCTTCTCACATTTCCCCATTCTAATGCTCCAATTTCCGTATGTATTTTCTCCTCACATCTCTACTCGCCTATCCCCCTGCGTTCCGTCCTCGACTTCCTTCGTCCTCCCCTTTAACATCCCCTCCCGGGTCTTCCCCTCCCGTTTCTTCCCCCTCACGTTTCTTCCCCCTCACGTTTCTTCCCCCTCACGTTTCTTCCTCCCCATACCCTTCCTTTGTCTCCAACCTTTTCTCCCCCACCCGCCATGGTGTTCCTTCCCCACAGGCATCTCAGATGAAAGCCCGAGCAAGAGCAGAGAAGGGGGAGGGCAGGGGAGACGAGGCAGGCGGGAGCACAGCGGAAGAAACAGAAGGGGGCGGGGGGGGAGGAGCAAGGGGGGCGGCTGTGACGGCGGAAGCTGTGGCGGTGGCGGCAGCAGTGGGCAGCGGCATTGGAGAGAGGGGCCTTCCCCCTGCTGGCAGCTTGGGCGGAGATTTCTTCTCTCTGCTGCTCAAAGCAGACGAGTTTCAAAACACCAAGGTGGGTGGCGAGGGTGGGTGAGGCGGGGTGAAGGGGGACGGGAGAAGGGTCGGGACAAAAGGGGAGTAGTGAGGGAAGGGGGACGGGGGAGAGGGAGGAAGGTAACATCAGCAGGGTTTCTAGGTCAGGGTTTGAGGGTTTCAGGGTCAGTGCCTACGCCACGTGCCTGGTTCCAGGCGTGGGTCTCAGCTTCCGGTCTACTCTCTCTACGCATCCATCCTCTAGAACCCTCCCTCACGTCCCATTCCTCGACCCTCAACCATAAACCCCGCTTTTTCCTCCACCCTTACTGCAACCGCTCCCCTGCCCTGCCCGCCCCTCTCTCTCCCGAACCTCCCCATACTAGGTATCGGACGTGGCAGGGTCGTTGGAGTGGGCTATTCGTTGAGCCGTCTAAAACATCCACTCTCTAACCACCCCCCCTCCTCCTCCAGATTCTTGACTCTGACTAAAAAATAAACCGCTTCCCAAACCCTCTCCCCCCCCCCTCTTCTCCCCCCGTACCAGGTATCGGACGTGGCAGGATCCTTCCGATGGGCGCCGTTCCTCCCGGTAACCCCCGACGACTCGCTCCTCACGCTGCTCCTGCTGGTGTCCAAGTACCGCGTGCGATCCGTGCCCGTGGTGGAGGCGGGCCAGCCGGCCGTGCTGAACCTGGTCACGCAGAGCAGCGTGGTGGAGGTGCTCTCTGACTGCCACGGCCTGCCCTGGTTCGACCGCCTGGCGGACCGGCCTATTTGCGACCTCGGCCTGCCCACGCTGCCCGGAGATAAAGTGGTCGTGGTGAGACGCGGTGGGGTGGGGTAGGGTGGGGTGGGATGCGATGAGAAGGCGTGAAACCCTCGTCTCGCTTGGCCTCCCAATGTCCTCACTCACCGGGTTTCTTCTGGTGAAATTCCCCATCTCCTCTCTTCCCTCCGGCTTGCACTCTCATTCCCCCACTTTTCCCTCTAGTTCAACGTCACCTTCCAACCCTTCCCACTCCTCCTCCCTCTTTTCGCTCATCTTCCAACTCACCCACCTTTCCCTAACACACCCCTCACGTCTCTTCTCCAGCAAATTCACCCCAAATCCCCCCATCCGTCCCCACACCCTCCCTCCCATCTTCCCCCTCACCAGGTGGAGGAGGACGCACCGGTGTTGGAGCCGTTTCGGCGCATGCTAGCAGTGGGAGTGGCTGGCTGTGCCTAAAAAACCTCCTCATCAACCGTCCCTCCCTCCTATTTCCCGTTTCCCCCCCGCCCTATCAGGTGGAGGACGATGCGCCGGTGCTGGAGCCGTTTCGGCGCATGCTGGCGGCGGGGGTGGGGGGGGTGCCGGTGGTGGCCAAGGGCACGCGGCAGGTGGTGGGGAGCATCAGCGTGCGAGACATCCAGCTGCTGCTCGTCGCTCCCCAGCTCTTCCACGACTGCAGGTCATGCTTGCACCTGGGAATGGGTTGGGGAAAGGGGGAAAGGAAGAATGGGGCGAGGGGTGGGAAGGGGGGTGGGGAGTGAGAAGGGGGGAAGAGAAGGGAGGGAAGGTTTCGTTTAGGCTTGTAAAAGAAAATGACTCGAGAATCCGAAAGGAAAGGTGGGGCATTAGGATGGAAAAGGGGGGCATGAGGATGGAAAAGGGTGGTGGGCAGCATCAGCGTGCGCGACATCCGGTTGCTGCTCGTCGCCCCCCAGCTCTTCCACGACTGCAGGTCATGCTCACTCGCACACGAGGGGGATGGTGGGGGGCGGAGGGAGAGGGGAGAGGGAGTGAAGCGAGGGAAAGCACAAGTGGTGGAAGCGTTGGGGTCAGTGCGTTAGCAGCACGAGGAACACTTGCCTTCTCATCCCCACCCCACCACTCGCAAGACCGCTAGCCGTCCCTCTCTCACACCATGCCCGTTTCGTTCTTTCTTATACACCTCCCACCATTTTCCGCTTTTCCTCCTAGATCGCTGACAGTCGCGCAGTTCCTGGAGATAGCCAAGGGGGGCGGCTCCTCCACACCACAGGCCTCATTCCCCGCTTTTGATCCCCACTAAGGCACCTGACTCCACGTCCCCGGTCTCGCCCCTGCCTGCCCCCTGTCGTCCCTCATCCCCCCTTGTCTCCTTCCCCACAGGTCGCTGACAGTGGCGCAGTTTCTGGAGATAGCCAAGGGGCGCGGCTCCTCCACCGGGCTCATCTCCCCAGCAGCCATCCCCCCGACACGCTGCCGTGCCAACACGCCCCTGCGCCGCGTGATGCACGCGCTGCAGGCAGCGCGCGTGCACCGCGTGTACGTGACGGACGAGGTGGGCGAGCTGCAGGGCGTGGTGACGCTGAGGGACATCATCGGGAAATTTGTTGTCGAGCCTCCGGACTACTTTGGGGATTTCTTTGGCGGCGTGGTGCCGGACGTGCATCCGACTGCCTCCGCGCCCATGTGGCTGCATGCGGACTGGGATATTGGGGGCGGGTGGTGATTGGGAGATGGGGGAGGGGAGGAGAAGGCGTAGGGAGGAGGAGGAGGAAGTGGAGGAGGGGGAATGGAGTAAGGGGGGAAAAGGGGAGCATAGGGGAGTAAGGGGGAATGTAGATGGCATGGGGCCTTGGTTGTTTTTCAGACGTCTCAAAAATAACTTTGTCACACGTGTCTACCTCAAGGCGTTGTGTGAGTTCTGCTCTGCACTGGGCTGCCACGAAGGAGTGTATGGATGGCATGGGGCCTTGGCTGCAGCAAGGGTGCAGGATTGGAAGAAGGATGGTTGAAGGAGGAGGGGGGGGAAAGCAAGGAGATGGGGGAGGGTTGCACTGTGTGGTGTATTGGGGTGGTAGGTATGGTTTCTAGTAGTGCTGCTAAGGAGGGGGGATTACATTGTTGCAGTGTGCTGCAGGGCAGACGTGGTCAGGTCATTGGGTTATGTGTGCGGCAGCAAAGGATACGCATTGTCCCGCTGGCAGGGGGAGGAAGGAGGAAATTGTGATGCTCAGCTCAGCATACACACACAAGTGTGCAAGTGAGGAGAAGGCTGACAATCAGTGACCAACTAGTGCCGCTGGTACGGTTGATGGAGGCCTGATGGCGCTGTGTATGGTTGCTGCAACGCATGCATTGACCCATGTGCATACCGGTAGGTGCAGTGCAGGGAATGTGCGGATGCTGCTATTGTAATTGTTCCTTAGAAAATGATGGAGCATTTGCTGTAACCTGGTACCCCGGTAGGATTGACCTGAAGCATTTTGCTACCTCACCACATGCACAATGCCTGCAGCACCGCAGTACGGTAGCTCACGCATGATTCATTGCAGTGCCAAAAGCGACGTTTCATGTAGATCGTTAAACCCTCGGGCTCCTAGAACCAGAGGCTCAGATCTGGTGCACATGAAGTGGGTTGACAGCTAGAACAGTCTGCTTACTTTCGTGGAAAACACGAGACTTCCGAACCGCTCCACTATACAGATCTGTACATAACAGACTTATGTGTTAGTACAGTTCAACATGGCCAGTGGTAACATTCCCAACATGTGTAACCAACAGGTAGTGCCACTTGCTGCCCAGTCAGACCACGATGCACCAGCAGCTGCAATGCACCGAGCCGAGCAGCATCAGCTTCTTTCTCACGTTCCACGATCCGGGGATGGCCGTGAGTGGAAAGGAGGGGACGCATGGGGCCGAGGTGATTGCAGGCGGGCAGGCCAGGCTGAATCACAATCTGCCAAGTCCTCCCCTTCAATCGCATCCCCTTCCTCCTCCTTCCGCCCGCCCTGCTCCCCTGCAGACTCCTTCTCCCCCCCTTCTTCTGATATGCTCCACCACCCACTGCTGGACCTCCGAGCATCATCCCCCTGTGCTTCCCACTCCCCTCCAAACCGCAGAACATCCCCTAGCAAACCTCCCGAAACCATCCGTTCCTCCTCTACATACTCCTCCACACCCCTCACCTCCCCACCCTCTGCCAGCAACCTATCAGTAAGACTCACTCGCAACCCTGCCAGTCCCTCGCCTGATTGGATTCTATTCGCTCTCATAGCAGCTGAGGCAGCAGCACCAGCAGCAGCGCCAGAGGCAGCAGCAGCGGCGGCAGCGGCAATGGCTCGTGGCGTCGGCACAACCGGAGTTGCAAAGGAATGAGTAGCAGCAGTGGCAGCGGCAGCAGAAAACGGTCGGACAAAACCCCTGCCGCCGAACATGGGTCGCATGTAGGAGTCATCGAACCAGCGCCAGAGGTCATGCACATCACTCTCTCTTGCCGACAGCAGCCGAGACGTAAATCGCTGGTCTGGCATGGTGAGGCCTGGTAGGGTGTTGGGAGGCAGGCAGGATACTGCTGCTTCAGGTGGAGGAGCAACCACACCGCTGCTCGCTCCTGCTGTTGCTGCTGTTGCTGCGGCTGCTGCTGTAGTGAAACCCGCAAAGGAAGAGCTTTCACCCGCTGATGCTGCCGCTGCCGCTGCAGCTGCTGCTGCCGCGACTGCTGCTGCGGCAGAAGCAGCATCGGGGGCAGGGGGGTCAGCAAAGCGGAGAATACGAGAGGGACGGGAAGAAGCAGCAGCGCCGTGTGTGGCTGAGGAAGAGGAAGGCGCGGAGTGAGAGGTACCGGGTGCGGCCGAGCGATACGGCCGGGGAGGCGCAGATAAACCAGAGGCGCAACTCACGGGTGAGGGCGGGATGTCAAGGGCGAGAGAGAGGGAGGAGGAGGAGGAGCGACGGGGCAGGGAGGGCGGATAGTAAAGGTACTTGGGCGAGGGAAGAGCGTCACTGACGAGGCTGGAGGAGCGATCAAGAGGGCGAGGCAGGAGGTGGTTTATGAGAGGGCTCGTGAGCAGACCAAAGACCTGTGGGCGGTGCGAGGTGGGAGAGGTTGGAGGGACTATACATCAATGGAAGACAGAGTGAGGGGGAGACAGGAGCCGTTGGGAGAAGAGTGGACAAAGTACTTTCCTGGAGCATCCTGAAGGTGCCAATACTGAGCATCCACTGGAAGATTTTGAAGGGACCTTCTGAGAACTGATATGGTAGGTGTAAGTGGGAGAGAGAGATGGAGGTGACAATAGGAGATGCACTCACAACTGTGGAGAAGAGCACGAGAGCAATCGTGGCAGCTATTGTGGTTGCTACCACTGGGTCTGCATAGTCCGGGAACTGCACGGGGACGGGGAGAGCGGGCGAGGGAATGGGAGGGAAGGGGAGAGAAGACAGAGAGGAAAAGGACACCTGAAAAGGTGAGAAGGGAGGCATGGAGCCTCCAAGATGGAGCGTAAAGATAGACACAGATGGTAATTGGCATGCCAACAGGTCGAGATGCATGTGTAAGGAAACAGGTGGAGTGAACAGCTATCACTAAGTGTCCACATGCACGTGTTTCATTCACACACGCACGCACTGCGGAGTAGGTGAGTGCGATGGAGACAGCACCACGAATGAGCCCCGCCCACCATATGACCACCTGCCAGGCGTGGACAGGAACAGTAAGGAATGGAGATGGAATGGGGATTAGGGCGTGGTGTGCAGGTAAGAGAATGGGCAGAGAGATACACAACTGGAAGTGCGGGAAAGAGTGAAAAGTACCGGGAACAAGAGAAACGCAGTGGGGACTAGTGAAAAGCAGCAGGAACAACTGAAAAGCGGCGGCAACAAGGGGGAATAATAAAGAACCAGTGGGAACAAGTGGGAGGTGTTCCAAGGCGGTGGGCGCGGCAACCCACCTGGTGCTGGGGGAGCAGCACTCGGCTGTTCTTGCGCTGGAGGTTGAGCAGGAAGGAGAGCGGGAAGACAAAGGCAGCACGCCCCAGCAGCACGAGCGAGAGCAGGATGCCAAACAGCACGCCTGCATTCCTGGGAGAGATGGGGCAGGGAGATGGGGAGAGAGGAAGGAAGGGAGGGCCATGAAAGGCAAATCAGGATAGCGGAGTTTAGGTTGGAACTTGGAAGCAACAACGGATGTCTATCGCAGGGGCATTCCGACCACCGACACATCCAGCAGTTGGGCAGGAACCATGGACAAAAAAGAAAGACCATAATATACAAAACAGCCTTCAGCACCACATCTTCAGCAAACAAGAGCTCACGACCCCGAACAGCTACCTCCCAACCACACCTTCCGTGCCAGGTTGGCCTGGCCAGGGAGGGGCACCACATTTACCACACATGCGCACACGCACACACACACACGCGCGCACACGCACACCACGCGCACACGCACACGCACACGCATGCGCACACGCACACCACGTGCACACGCACACACACACACACACACACACACACACACACACACACACACACACACACACACACGCGCACACGCACACCACGCGCACACGCACACACACACACACACGCGCGCACACGCACACCACGTGCACACGCACACACACACACACACGCACACACACACACACACGCACACGCACACCACGCGCACACGCACATGCACACGCACACACCTGTGGTTGACGGAGTTCCACTTGTCCACGTCGAGTGCGTCCATGCCCACGTAGATGAAGATGAACGTCTCCGCTATGAACGACATGGTTGCAAACGCATGCCTGCCCTCCCAACACGCATGCCGTGGATGGGTTGCACGGGGTGAACAGGGGATGTAGACCACACAGGTCGGTTTAGTGAGAAAGCAGAGCGGAGAGAGGGAGGGCAGAGAGGGGAAGGGCAGTGTGAGGCGAGGAGGTGCCAGTGAACTAGGCAGCTGCGAGCAGAGAGAAAAGTCCCAAATACCCCTCGCCCCAGCCCCAAGCATCCCCAAGCAGCCATCAGCACAGCAGCATGGAGCAGGCACATGGAACATTGCTCACACTCACTTGGTGGTAACTCGGGAGCTCTCAGTGACGTTGTGCCATGTGTAGTGACTCATGACAATGCCGGCAAAGAAGACGGAGAGGATGCCGCTGAGCTCCAGCACCTCTGACAGCACGTACGACAGGTACGCCATCAGCGCCATCAGCGCCACCTCCCTGTCCGTCGCATGCCTGATGGGGGGCAAGGGGGAGCGGGGAATTTTGAATGGTCTCAAAAGACCTCTGACAGCACGTACGACAGGTACGCCATCAGCGCCATCAATGCCACCTCCCTGTCCGTCGCATGCCTGTCGGGTGCCGTGGCGGGAAGGGAGTGCGGGTGTGATGGGGAAGGAGGAGGGCAGGGTGGAAAGGAGGGGGAAGGGGAGGGGAGGGGGGGGAGGAGGAATGGGCGCAGGAATTCAGGAGTAGAAACGCGTGAGATTCGAGCTGGGGCTGCATTCAGAGGATGGGACAGGGGCGGAGGCTTTTGCCAGTGGGAAGCACGGATGAGAGAGGTGACATGGAGCAGCAAGAGAGTGCCCGGCGGGAGTATCGGCTATGGGTGACAGGCTGTCATATCACGACAGAATTGAAATAAGCAAGGATGACGTTGATGAGCAAAGTGGGAGCAGTGGTGCGGCGAACTGGGAGAGGGATGATGGAAGCGTACCCGACGAAATAGAGCTTCCTGATTATGAACGCTGATGCCAATCCAAACTGAGTCACGCCACGCAGTTAATTGGGAATAAACGCACAGCGACAGAAAATACAACGTTGGAAGCAAGAAAGCAAGAATCATGTGGGGTCGTGATGCCAGGTCACAGAGCGACGAACGAAGAAGACACACAAGGGTAAAGTGGGAAGGGAGGCGGGGGGAGGCGAGTGTGTAGACGTGGATCATGACAAGCAAAAGATGTAAAATCCGACAGTCAATCCAGCAAATCATCTGCCCCTTCTCTTCTCTTTGCATCTACATCCGCAGCAGCAGCAGCAGCCCATGGCAGGGAGCAGGGGAGCACGCACAGCAATGCCGAGGGCAGTGGAGGCGGTGAAGAGGTAGAGGAAGTCAGAGGCGATGCCGGCGACAGCAGGCAGGTCGAGTGCATCGTGCTGCAGCTTCTGCACGGCGCGGAAGAGCACAATGGACGTGGCGTCGTTCACCACGCCCTCGCCAAACACCAGGCTGTACACCAGCGGCTGCTCGCCCTGGTCCAACACCTGATGGAGCGTGCAATGCAAAGGGAAAAAGGGAGAGGGAGGAGAGGGGAGGGGGTGGGGGGGTTTGTTTTGAGACGCCTCAAAACCTTGCCCTCGCCAAACACCAGGCTGTACACCAGCGGCTGCTCGCCCTGGTCCAACATCTGATGACCGTGCGGGGGGGCAGGCACGATGGGAGAGGGAAGGGAGGGGGGCGGGAGAGAGGAGCGAGAGTGGTGAAAAAGGTAGGCATGGAAAGGGGAAGGGGTTTTGGGTGTGGGCGTGGGTTTGGAGGGCTTGAGAGGGGGCGTAGTGGTGATACAGAATGGAGGTTAGAGGGTGAGCGTGGAGGAAAAGGAATGGATGAGTTGAGAGAGAGCGTGTGGTGGGCTCACTTGTAATGTGCAGACGGAATCGGTTGCAGAGAAGATCACGCCGAGCGCTGCAGCAGTACACATGGGGGACGAGATGATGACGAGCGCAAATGGGGGTGCCGTGGATAAGAGGGAGGGACAGAGGGAGGAGTAGGGGGGGTGGGAAAGGGCGGGATGAAGGTGAGCAGGAATACATATAGACTTCCAAAGAGATGATCACAGTGGATTCCCTGGCAGCAATACACACGGAACGACCAGACGCTATTTCCTGTTTCCTTTCTGTTCGCTGGTTTACTACCAGAACATCCCCGTTGAGCACACTAGGACGCCACGCCGGAGGTGCTGCAGGTGTGCTGAGAAAGAGAAAGGCCAGCCCCTCACCAAGGTACACGCGGCTGTGCTGTGGTGGAAGGCCCAGAAGATCAAAGAGGCTCCTGCACCCTGTTAGGCACGCAGGGGATGCAAGGGACAGCAGAGGCAAAGCACCACGAGTTCGCGGATGAAAAGAAGAAAAAATAGAACGAGGAGCACACTTGCAGAATAATACTTGAGCAATAACACTCGTGAAAAAGAAAAGAAAAACGGAAGAGAGGCAAGTGGCAAGACGAGCCATTTTCAAGCCTGCTGGCAGGTACGTGTGGCAGGCAGGGCAGAGGTAGTACCTGCTGAGATGACTCCAAAGGAGATGAAGACGCCCACAATGCCATAGGCCATGATAGCTCCGAAGTTGCGAAAGAACTGCTTCTTCTTCACCTGAAACCTGCCATGGCCGAACGGACAGCGCCGGAGAACACCGGGGGAAGAGGGGGGCGTGGGGGGAGGAGGGACCAGGGAAGAGGAGATGGGCCAGGGACAGCAGGGGGAACAGGGAGAACAGGGGGAACCAGGAGCCAGAAGGCTGCGGATGAGGGTGTGCGAGGTGAAGGAGAACGCGAGCGAGAGCGGAGAGTGCGCTGATGTGACTGCACTGCGACTCTGCGATGCAGAACGCCAAGGTGTATACGGAAGGGCATGTGCAAGCGAGGTCCCTTCCCAGCTCTTCCGCGGATCTCATTGCATCCCGCTATCTCTCCCCCAATGCCTGCATGCATCCTCAGTCTCGCACGCAGCCAGCCAGCACGTTAGCTAGCTATGACGCCAACAGCACGCACGCGACGCAAAAAAACTCGCCTTGGAAGCAGGGAAGCATTGGCATGGGGCATGAGCAAGCATGCGTTGCGGGTGGGGGAGTGGGAACGCACCCGGCGTTGAAGATGATGGGAGGCAGCAGGTAGATGAAGAACAGGTCCTCGTCAAAGCGCAACACCAGGGAGCTCTTCCCCTTGCGCACCAGCAGCACCACGCCGCCGGTCACCAGGCCCTGCCATGCCATCATCGACATACGTCCGCGGACAGTGAAAAAGGTGAACTACAAGCGGAAGGCGGAGCTGGCAGTTCAAGCACGAAGCTTGCGTGGATCCTGGCCTCTTAGGAATCTTTCGCACGTGAGAAATCTCACAATCGACAGCCTATCGACATGAATTTGACACATCCTGTGGACGTGATACGTTATCTTCGCGAAGGAAAGACGAGACCTTACAAAGATAATGGCTGTGACGGACTCGTTGATCCATCGCACGTCCTCCAGTAAGTGTCCAACGACGATGCACGCGCACAGAAGGCTGACGAACAGCGTCAGCGCGGCAATATCAGTGCCTCCCCCGGACATGAAGTTCGTCAAGCTCGTAACACGCACGGTCGTCGAAGCATTCAACCCCGTGATCGCTGACGGAACTTCCATGATGCGATCCTTCAAGGAAACTACTAACAGGCAATTCGACAAACTTCAGGACAAAACACGTCGAAACCGGATGAATCTCGTCGCTGATCAATTCAGATGCTACCCACGTCCTGCAAGTCAAGCAAATTTATCCATCATAGCGTGAGCCCATGGAGGTACAACCACGTCGATGATCATGACAGAAAGATGACTTTCAAATGCTGAAGGTGGCTGCATCCAGAATGGGAAAGCGAAACATTAGTGGTCAAGCAGTGGAGTAGATCTGATGTACAGTAGAAGATAAAAGGTGGGATAGGTTCAAGGCGTCATATTTATCAGCTGATTTCAGCTCCAACATGGAGTGCCATACATAACATTTTATTTCATAAAAGGTTAAATATGAGAAATTGTGCCAAGGAGTTCACTAACTTCTCAGCATATTAGATTGGCATATGGTATTGGCTTGTCTTGCCAGCAAAGAGCTGACATGACAAGGCAGAGGAACCACATTCCAGGCCCGTTTCAAACAACCTTGCCTCTAAGTAGTGAAATCCCTTGTGTACACGTCCGTAGAAATCTTTACCATCAGTTGAGTTAGAATTGGAGGGATGCAATGCAAGCAAGTGATGGCTGCCACCTGGGTAGAGTGACCCTCTATCTACCTCCTTCAATCCAATTAGCACTGCCGAGTGCCACCACGAGCCAGACCCAAGATGTCATGGTGACTGCCTAAAGGGTCATTGCGTACAGCAGAAAGAACGAAATGCAACAGCAGCCTAAGTTAGGATGTGGCTGGAGTGCAGCAGTGAATACCAGGGGATCAGTCTGCTCCTCGTGGTGTTGGGCGGTAACTTCCAGTGCAATCCTACGTTACATGGGCCGCTCAGTTCCCGTCTTGCAAAAGAGGCGCAGGTAAAGGCATTTTTCGCATGCGACACGAAGCCAAGAAGGTGGATAGCGTATTAAAATTGTATTACTTCGACAAAAATACAGCCGAAGGGTACTAACTCCTATATCACATTCTCTTTAGTACAGGCTGTCCTCCTGGTGGGTCTTGATGGTGACATCGGAGGTGGGGTAGGCAATGCAGGTCAGAACGAAGCCCTTGGCCATCTGGTCATCATCAAGGTAAGACTGGCCGGACTGATCCACGGAGCCGGCGGTAACCTGGCCCGCGCAGGAAGAGCAAGCGCCGGCCCTGCAGGAGTAGGGAAGGTCGAGTCCAGCCTCCTCAGCGGCATCAAGGATGTAGACATCGTCGGCAACTTCAATGGTGGAGATGCCGGAGGGGGTATCGAGGGTCACCTTGTAGGAGGCCATGGACACGCGAGCAGCGGAGGGGGCGACCTTAAAGGTCTTGGCCACGCTGGTCTTCAGCGTGGTGGTGGCCTTCAAGGAGGCAACCGGAGCCAGGGAAGCAGCAGCAAGGGCAGCCATTGTAATGGAGTGGAGGGAGAGCTGCACGAGTGCTACACAAGCCTGACAGATAGAGAATGCGTGGGATTGTGGAAACCAAGCCAAGGCCACAATTGAAATACAACAGGAGGGCATCCAATCCTCTTCGAGTCTATGCACCATAGATGAAACTTACAGAAGCCACGTGAAATTTCATCGTAGAGGAAATCGAAGTGGATAGGATCCTGACCAGCGAATGGCAGAGAACTTCGAGGTGGAGTTGGGACCAGCTTGCCCAACGTCCACCAGACATTGGTTAGCCACGTCACAAGAACGCTCGATAGTCGTCGAAAATATGACACAGAATCATAAGCCTGTGATTGTTGAAATGCTTACAACGGGGGTACCCTTGTGGTGCGCGCCACATACGAGAGATGCTGATCCACCACCTACACCTTCACAAACGCTGATGTGGAACAGGTGGGTATCATCTGAATCATGCCGCAATTTCGTTGGCAACAAGCAACACAAGACTGGCCACGTATCTTCTAGATGTACACTTCAACATTTCCCAAGGATGCCGCACCGCCTTCCATCGTTCCGCGAAGGCTTAAAATGTTACTATCGAGGATGCGAGGATATCATCACATCATAAAAATATCAAATGTTCTATTTGTATAAGGTTCGTGCGACTGCTTGTCATCGTTACCACTTTAAACCACCTCCGCTTTGTGCCAGCCCCACATTCAACGTGTATTGCTTTGCCCTGTGCAGATTCTGCCCTTTCCTAACCATTTGTTTCGTCCTAATTCATCCCCTCTGCTTCCGTTGCAAATGTTACGACTAGTAATTACTGAAATACTATTGGGCACTCCTCACCGTAGCAAACGCAGCATACACTACCGAGACTGAAGAGGAAAGGGCGCAAGTGACGCGAAGGGTCACACGGTTACGAGAAGCATCTGGACCGTCGGGCAGACAGCGTCAGGCAGCAGCAGTGGCGAGGATTCTGCCCGAACGGTTTCGTAACCGTCCGGAGTCGCACGGTTGGATTTCAATGCAATAAGGGAATGTACCCCTTAGAGTACATGGCTAGCTAGGACGTTTCAAATTCCCCTGTACTCTTATTTATATTCCTTGTACTGCATGTTTTTATCATCTCAAGCATTTACATTGACCCTGCTATTGAGGTCAAGGGCCCACCACCACTAGATTAGAAGTGTGCGAACCTTCCCAAGGTGATCCTGGTTACGATCAACTTCTGATCGCAACATGGTATGAGAGCGACTCAGGAATCCTTCGCACCGCCACCACCGAAATCTTCGGCGAACGAAAAGTGGTGTCCGGCACACGATCGCGTGTAAGAATGGCCGGGGGATATGGAGGTCAGACAAATCTGACGGCTGAAGCGCAGCCCAACCCGGCTGCGACAAGCGAAGAAACGACGACGATCCCTTCCGCCGTCCTTGCACAACTGCTTCAGCGACTCACGAGTTTGGAGCAAGGACTTCAAACATTGCGGAATGGCGACGCGGGAACTTCTTCCCAACCCACTCAACCGGCCTCAAACGGCCAGAACTCCGCCCCGCAAGGCTTCTCTCTTGACACAAACGGCTCAACACCCAAGACTCCCTGTCCCAGCGATGAAGCAATTCTCTCTGCACAATCAAGGTTTTTGAGCATATCAAAAATAAAGACAAGTGTGTGCTTTGACGGCAGAGACTTTTACACCTGGACCTTCGAGCTGGAGCTGCTGCTGCAAAACGCGCAGATTTATCACTATTTCGACGGGAGCTACTCGGGACCTACGGAGGATACTGACGACGCAAAAATCAAGTACTACAACGAGTCCCTAATGGCATACGGGGTTCTTCTGCGGAACATGTCGCCGACGGAGCAATTGAGCATTCGCTCATACAAGACCTCTCCTGCTCCAGCCCTCAACGCCTGGCGCCACCTAAACGGCGTATACCAACCGAAGGACTCAGTGTCGTCGAGCTGCCTTCTCCAACAGCTACTGGAGACGAAGATGGCACCAGGAGAGAAGGCCAATAGCTACCTGAATCGTTGTCGAAGCTTACGCGATCAAATCGCGAAGTTGGGAAGCACGATCTCCGAAGAGATCTTCGTCAACATTGTGCTTCAAGGGCTCGGCCCAGAGTGGCGGCCCTGCAAGGCGCTTCTCCGACAGCAGGGGGTCATCTCGGAGGCCGCCCTTTGCGCCGCCCTTCTCGTCGAACAAAGGGATATGGACCAGCAGCGACCAGCGCCGCGACGAGACAAGGAGCGCCTCGCCTTCTTCGCCGACAACACTGAAGAGCGACGGCCGCGGCGCCTTTATTGCAAAATCTGCAGGAATTTCGGGCAGTTGGCGGATCGATGCAAGCTTCGATCTCGCCCTCGCCAGACCAATCCGAGCAACTGGTCCGGCCGACAAGACGCGAGAAACGACACGCGTCCCGCCCAGGGGTATCAATCCTCATCGTGCAGCCTGAACCCAACAGTTCAACAGCAGCAGCAGCCATCATAGGCCGCCCCAGTTCGCAATGTCATGGGGAACATGACTATGACGAGCGGATCTCGTCGCCCGCGTGCACGCTCACCGTCACCTGAGCCGGCACCTGACCCAATCGAAGCGTCCTCGAACAACAACCCGTTCAGCACGCATCACGACTTCAGCGACGATGACAACCAGGACTACAATCTGCCAGTCCCGCTGCTTGAGAGCCCCCCGCACATACCTGACATGCGGCCGGCACCGATCGATTGGATCGCGCGCGAACAATTTCTCAAGGTTGACACTCCGTACATCGTCACTCCGCGACTGGCGCTGCTCGCGCGAAACGACAACAGGCGCTATAACTCGTGGTACCTGGACAGCTGCTGTGGGCAGCACATGGTGGGCTCTGAGCGTTACATATCCAATGCCATCCCCACCCCCGCCGTCACCTACGTCACTGTGGCGAACAATACGCGGCTGCGCGCAAGCGCGCAAGGCATCGTGGTGGCACATGAGAGCAGAACGCACATCACCTTGAATGACGTGTTGATTGTGCAGAAGCTGCGCTTCAACCTGCTCTCGGCGGCGCAACTCCTGAATTGTGGAGTCATCCTCAGCACCGACCCCGAGACACGCGATATTCTGCTTCACTTCGCAATGCCGAACAAGACGCGCAAGCAGATCGGACGGGCACACGCCGAGAACGGAGTATACGTTCTCGACTTCGACATTCCCGACTGCAACGGCGACTCGCAGGAGTTGATTGATCTCGTCCCCCTGCGCTTCGAACATATACATCGCCGCGACTGGAAGCACCCTGATGGGCGCCCGTGGGTGCCACATCACCCACATCCGCGCGAGCTGGCGTTACACGACCCCGACCCCGATGGTGTCTGCAGGAACTGTCACACGCCTACGTCCTCGACGAGCGCAATCGCCGGCCGTGGCCTCGCCGCCATCCTTGAATCAGAGCGCGACGCGCCGCCTGAGGAGGGTCTCTCCCAACTGGAGCTGGAAACAGCTACGCGGGTCGTCTCCGGCACACCAGAATCTCCACTCCCCGGACCCGCATCCCAGCATCTCCAAGGAATGCTTCGCGGTGTCGGCGTCGGAACCTTCGACGAAC